GCAAAGGTACGTGGTACTAATGCGTGCTGGAGAACCTACAGTATGGTTAGCAAAGGTACGTGGTACTAATGCGTGCTGGAGAACCTACAGTATGGTTAGCAAAGGTACGTGGTACTAATGAGTGCTGGAGAACCTATGGTTAGCAAAGGTACGTGGTACTAATGCGTACTGGAGAACCTATGGTTAGCAAAGGTACGTGGTACTAATGCCTGCTGGAGAACCTCTGCACATGTTGGAGGCTGACCCATGTTCGAGGGCGTGTTCCCACATTGTGATGTCTTCAAATTCCATTCTCTATAGTCAAGAGATCTGCAAAGAATTATACTGGGAGGGAGAGAGTAAAGCAGTTGGGCTGGAGAGGCATGAACATGGTCCCACAGCCAGGCTCTGTGCCTTAAGGGCTCCCTGCGACTGAACCTGGGACTAGACTCAGCAAACGCCACAGGCTTAGTCACCATATTGCTTTTGTAAGATGTGCAAAGTATTATGGAAGCATTTTCTCAAACTGAGCTAATGTTGTCGTGTTATCAAAAGTAACACACGCAAGTTCACCGCAATGTGAACCACAGGGTAAGATAACAGAGCCAATCAGTGAGAACAACTAGAACATTTACAATACCCAGAACTGGTACATCAAGCTCTTTCGGGATTTTATATATAAACTCCAAATTGGCCTTTCTGTTTTTAAAAATGATAATATTTGCGTGCGTGCGTGTGTGTGTGTATGTGTGTGTGTGTGTGTCTGTGTGTTCACACAATGGCAAAATTTCCAAACGATGCATTTCTCAGAACGCAGCCTTGTCGTTAAACGACGCATCACTGCATTGATCCTGGTAAGTGAATCAACACTGTAATACATTATTGATGGTAATTGTTAACTGACATTTGCACTAATCCAGTTTGCAAAATGTCTCATAGGAAGACTCCACCTTCGGATACCGAGGGAAGCCTGTATGTAAATAATTATATTCACAATCTTTATATAGTCTTTACACACCAAGTAAAATGTGCTTATGTTAGCAAAATCCAATCAGTAACACACATAAAGCACATAAAACTATAAGGAGCTGAATCTTATTTAGTCAAGTCTGCTTCCAGATGAATTCTGTCTAATCCTCAGCCGTGATGTGACAGCATATTTCTGTGTTAAAATGCCTCTTACTCACTTCCCAGTGGATGTAGCTAATCCTTGCATGTCTTTTCAGGCGACTTGATTTGAGGCCCCCGCATGCCAGCACAGAGGCGCACTGGCTAACCCCCCCCCC